GCATGTTTATAACAGTTCGTCGATTGTAAACGAGATTTTGGAGCTGTTCTGATTAATACCGGCCGATAAATTGTGTTTCGATACTTCATCAAGTGTCGCCGTTATTCACTCCAAATCCACACGAACCCCGTATGAACGTGAAGGAAGAAAATAACGTAAAATCTAGTGTCAGAAAAAAATGCAACAGTATTTTACCGTCTGATCCAGTCTCTGTGGGTCCTAAATTCTGCGACTCCATGTGGCCATACGAGCCCTGGCGCTGGTTCTGGGTTTATCTGAATAATAAATCGGTTAATATTAATTCAAATAGCCCTAAATGTAATATTTGGGTCTATTAGTATCATCAAGAAAATCTATTTTTAGCATATGGAGAGAAATTTTTGGTAAATTTTTCCTCGTCATTATTTTATAGTGCATTTAACTTAAATGTGTAATTATCTCCATGCATAATGTCAACATAAAAGGTTACCATACTCCTTTATTATTGAATTACTAACAAAAAAAAAAGTTTAGGCATCGTTACATAAGTCATTACTCAAGTTGTCATGATTTGATAAACATGCGGTAAAGAAAGGAAAGTATAATAAATAATGATTCGCCAGGTTGGCGTCAGATCGACGATGTATCTATGTAGAATGTTTCGGTTTGAGATGCGTGCCAAAAAGCAGATATGCAGCAACGGAGCCGAATTACTGATCGTACAAATTTATGCTAAAGTGTTTGTTTCTTCAATAACAAGGTATTTTATTTAGTGTCAAAATGAAATTAAGAATCGAGACTCTCCAGATGTGTTGTTATGCGTGGAGGGGGGGATTAAATGCACATGCGTAAAGCCTAAGAGAAAAACGTTGGTGGTTTTGAGGTCCAGATTTTAGATAATTCCAGATAATGGACGTCCGGATTTTGGACTTTGTACTGTATTTAATTGTAGTTTGTAAGGGATAATCTTAAAATGCTTTATGTCAAGGTTCATGAGCATTCCTTCAGAAACATTACTCAGAATTAGTTGATCATTACCAGCTGTTACCTGAAGTGAGGCCCCTAGTTTAAGACAAACTTAGTTAAAAACCGGTCTGCAACAGTTTTTGTTGATGCCTGCTGCAAAGAAAGTAACTATATTCATTCTGAACGGTGGTGGACTATTACTAACAAAAGTTGGCTTTTATTTTTTTTACTTCTAGGATATGATCCTGATAAATCAGTTACAACAATGTTGTCGGAGAAACTTGGTTTTATGCTATTTAAATACCTTGCTAGGATGTTATTAATATTATTAATCAATTGGCCAATTATACAGAATTTCACATATTGTATGACAAAGTTTTGTAATTGAGGGAAATAAACTCCTTCCCTCACCTTCTGCACTGTTTTTCTCATGCTTAGATAGTCTGATAATGGAGCATCAAGTAACTCATTTAATATATATAATATTAAGTTTACTGGGATAAGTGGTTGTAATTCTGAATTTTTGCAGCTTTCATGTAAAACAAAAGGTCATCAATGGTTTCATAGTTCCCAGTTCTGTTCCTAATGCCAGTGATATTGGAGTGTTAAAAATTACCAGGATCCTTTTAGTATGCATAAATGTTTTTTAAACTGTGCTTAACTGACTCTGCCTTTAACTCCTTTATTATGGCTTCTCGAGAATCTAAAAATTTTCAAGTTAACTTGACACATCTTATCTCTTTTTCCCTTGTCATTCAACTTAATTCTTCACATGCTGTTAGCTTTAGTATTATCTTTCCCAGTGAATGCTTAATTATTGATTTAATCTTGTGCAGTTTGAGAGACCACATTATCAATATAGATGTTAAATTGTTTCCTGTTAGTCCCTTTACCAAAATAAACTTTGAATTTCTGATCAGCCAACAGGATTCCAAGGATTTCCCTCTTCTTGTAATTTTGCTGCGTTGATCAAGGGTTTTATTAATATGGGCTACCAATTCATCATCGTGCTTATATGCAGCTCCTACTGCAAAACTAGATGCATCTGCACTTATCTTTATTTGCTTGTGAGCTCAGGAAATTTCATGATTGGGGCTTGAGTCAGAACAGATTTAAACTTCTCAAAAGCTCTATTCAGCTTCGTAGACCAATTAAACATGGTCTTTTTCAATTTTCAATTTAACAGATGCTTTGAATTTTCTTGCTGTAGTGGGCGTCGGGTAATTTTGAATAGTAATTATTTTTGGTTCATCTATTTCAGTTTCTTGCTGTGGTATTTTATACTCCAAGTAACTGAGTTCTTTAGCCACAGATTTGCATTAGGAACCATCTACTTTCAAACCTGTTTGATTTAGTAGTGTAAATATTTTTCATGTATCCTTATTATGCTAATCAGTCATGTTACCTTAACTATTATATCATTTCACTAGATGAATACTGATTTGCCTAGTACAGGCCTGAAAATTATATCCATCACCCTCTGGAACAAAGTGGGAGCACAACGTAACCCATTTGGCAATCTTAAAAATGCGTATATGCCCTATTTTGTGATAAATGCCATATTTGTCATGTCCTCAAACATATGCCTGTCTGAAAATACCCAGACATTAAATCAACTATTGTCATATAATTAGCTAACATAATTTTCTTAATAATTTCCTCAACTATAGGTAGTCATCTGTACATATTTCTCAATAATTTTTCCCTTAACTTTATCATAATCACAGGGTTTTACTGTACATGAAAGATTATCCTCTATATCTATCTCATGGGTCACTGCACATTTTAGCATTCAGGTTGTTTTAACAATGCTAAAAAGAATTTATTAACTTCTAAAGCAGGGGTTCTACGCCAGGGATGAATTTCAAAGTTTCATGTGCCGTTTAGGTATTTAGTTTATGAATATACAGTCAAAAGCAATTGAATTAGGGATAACTTGCATTATGCAGATTTTGAGTGCAAGCCTGGAAGTAGCTTGCAAATGATGTAAACAGCAGTTTGACAAGATAAGGAATGCCGCTCATGGTATCAGTAATAGTCAAAAGCAAAATGGGTAAGAGTATGGATCTAACCACGTTTGATCGTGGTCAAATTGTTGAGGCCCGATTAATGTGTCACTCTTTTTCGGAAGTAGTGCAGACACTTGGATTTTCACACATCACTGGGTCAAGGGTGTACCGTGAGTATGTCTATACTGGTAAAACCGTCAACCATCCCTGCGAGATTCTACTGCCATGAACAACAATGTGTGGTTGACTGAGGTCGTCGGTGGCTAGCTCACATTGTAATAGTTGATAGATGGGTGCAACAGCTCACTCATGAATTTAAAGCTGGTGTACAGCAACATGTAAGCTGCCAAACCATCTGCTCTCAAGGGGGCACAGGAATCCTATGAGAGTCCCTCTATTGACTTCACAAAACATGGTGCAATGATTAGAATGAGACCCGGAATTTCACCAGTGGACCGTCGAGATGTGGGAAAATGTTGCCTGGGAAATGCGTCTAGATTCACTTTGGTACATGCTGATAACAGAGTACATGTATGGTGTAAACTAGATGAAGTGATGGATCCTTTCTGCCAGCAGAGTCCTCTTTAAGCTGGTGGAGGTGGTATTCTTATCTCAGAAGTGTTCACATGAACCAAAATGGGACCCCTGGTATGTGTGATATCGTCTCTCACAAGTGAATGTTACCGGGATGTCCTGGATGACGGCCATCTGCTTCCATACGTTCGTTTTCGATAGCCCACTTTAGATATTATCTTTCAACGAGACAGTGCACATTGACATCATTCCCAAATTGTATAGGAATGGTTGGACAAACATTCCACAGACCTGCAGCTGCTTTCCTAGCCAACAAGGTTACTTGATCTCAATCTGATCAAGCACATCTGGGATGCAATTGAGAGAGGTGTTTGCGGTTCCACCAACCTTCCTTCTAATCTTCACAAATAGTGGGAAGTTGTTCATTAGTCGTGGATATGCATAGCTTCCTATCACTTCCAGTGTCTTGTTGAGTCCATGCCAAGACGAATTGCAGCTGTCATGAAGGTGAAAAATGGTGCTACTAGACAGGTATCCTTAGTTCAGTTGCTCTTCAGTGTAAAACACTACTTTTAGTGTAAAACTTTGGTATTTATGAATTTTTTTCTACTTTTTCGTGTGTAATTTATAGAACACTAACTCTTTCACATCGAAGTCGCCCCAAACGCCCGAACATTCAGACATCGGCAGGTCGCCCAAACGCCCGAAAAATTTTTTACCGAGTGCTTTCCCCCATCACATTACTGCATTGCTCATTGCTTTCAGGTGTTGTTAAATGGCATGTCAATCATTCTTTTGAAGCGACTAAAAGTTCTGTTATTTTAATGCACCTTTTTTTTCCTGTGTTTGCTGTCAATGTTTAGCTATTGATGCCTGAATTTGCAATTCCATCTCAAGGGGGAACTTCACACAGGTTGAAAGCACCCAACAAAGAAGTTGTCGCTTTACTTAAGTAGGTTATTGTTAGTGCTGTAGTATTCAATTTGTCATGGGGGAAAAAAAAGCATTCCAAGAGGAATTCTTATATATGGGCGTTTTCAATGTTTTAGGAAAAGAGATTTGGTCCTGTCTCAATGCGAAAGAGTTATAAATAATCTAAATTTAAATATATATATATATATATATTTTTTTATTTATTTATTTATTTATACTATTTTTCAAGTTTTAGAAAGGGGGTATCATTATCATCTAGCGTTGGTAAAAGAGGTGTACGGGGTAAAAAAGGTTGAGGACCACTGTTCTAGAAATTTTCATTTCATCTGGCAGCAGGTCTTGAGTGCCCCTGGCTGGAGGTGCTATTTGCTTTTCTTGCATTGCTGTCATTTCAAGCTCTACCCTATCTGCATGAAAGTCAATTCATTCTACATATAAGCTTAATTGTTTATTTAAGTATTTGCTCATGCTATAATAAAATATATTATTAAATGCATTTAAAATTAATAAAAAGTAAAAAATTGTGTAACTTATGTTCTACATTTATAGTTTGTAATATACTGAAATGTTTATTAATAGGCTGAGAGAGCTATGGAATTATCCTAAATATGGATGCCCTTTCAGGGAAGGAGAATATTATTTTTATAAGATGAATACAGGCCTCCAAAATCAAAGGTAATATTTCCTATTACTTTAAGAATATGACATACTCCATGCTATGAAAAAAATGAATCTTTTTTCTCCTTCTATGAGCTGTTTTGTTCCTTTATAAGTCTCATTTTTCTCCTCTCTTTTTAGTGTTTTATATAAACAAAAGAGCTTAGAAAGCGAAGGAGAAGTATTCTTAGATCCTAACAAATTGTCTAAAGATGGTTTAATTTGCATTATGGCTCAGGAACTTTCTGAGGATGGAAAGTATATGGCTTATGCTCTCAGTGACTGTGGGTCAGATTGGAACAAGATAAAGGTACATTTCTTAAATTTAGAAAACATGTGTTATCCATCTTAACTGTATCAGTGTAGAAAATGTAAATCTATAAAAAATTAGTCAGGGCCTGATTAATGGCTAAGCTCACAATGTCTAGGTTTAGAACCCCAAATCAACCTATAATTCCTTTTAACCTTGATTTTCTCACACATGAACAAGGAAAATGAGCATTTTAGCCCCTGAAAAGATTCTGTGCTTGGTTGATGAGGAAAGTGGGTGATGTTTTTATTGGTAAAACTTGTGCAAGCATATTTTTAATATGCATTCTATTATGAGTTTGCCAACTACGATTGTTCTCATATTTGGCACTTCTAATTTGTAGTGAACATGTTAAACCTCTTTATTGTATGCTTCATAATTTTTGGAATATGTTTATGGATTGATCATATGTGGATATTTTAATAACATGGGATCTGAGGAACTGTTCCTATTGTAGCCGTCAACATCAGAACTATTACTATAGAACTGAGCATCACATTACTGCATTATTAAATTTTACCAAGCATGCTGTACTTACACTGTTAAATTGATTTTGTGGCTTTGATCTTCAGTTTTCAAATCACTATATTTTAAAAAAAATATAGTAACTAAGGGAACAGATTAATTTTATGCACTATAATTTTAGAAGAAATTTTAGTAACATTACCATCAACTATATTCGGATTCCATCCATTGAAACAATAAGGAAATTCTAGGTTTCTCTGATGTCAGCAAATACATCATAATTGGAACATGGGAAGAGGAGGGATGTGATTGAAAATCCAAAACTTTTTAAAGCATATTATTTACTTCATAAGCACTTAATATATTTGTGCATTATCTATTCTTCATTATGGAAGGTAGCATTTTCTGCAAAGATATGAACATTTTTGCAGGATTTCTACGGCATGAACTGGAAATGGAAAGCAGTACTTTTTTATTGCTCATGAAGCAGTCTATTTTATCATTTTTTTTGGGGGGGGTAAAAATTATTCTACTGTTTCTGTATTTGCTTAAGTTATCAGTGTAATTGACTGATGTTAATATATGCTGCATTTTTTTAGTTGATTATAAATTTTTGAAAAATGATCTTCCTAAATAATTGTAACTCATCTGAAATCTAATCAGCATAAATTTTCCTCTTTTTCTAGATTAGAAGTGTTACTTCAGGAACTGACTTCCCAGAAGTCCTTGAGAAAGTGAAGTTTTCAAATATGTCATGGACTCATGATAATCAAGGTTTCTTTTATTCTGTAAGTAGTGTTATAGAACTTAATTTCTAGTATCTGCTGTATGATTAATTTGTAATATATGCTTTCTTGATTTGCCTGACCTTATGATTAATACTAGTCTGACCTCTCTCTGCCCCCTCAAAAACTTGTTAAAACTTTTTCTGTTCATACCGTCTTAAAACTTCTGTTGTTGGACTTAAAATGTTTCTCCCTTTTTTTAATGGAAAGGAGGATAGATTTACTAAAATGAAAAATATTGTTTTTGCAGCAAAATATTAAAATTCACTCAAATGTATTAAAATAGTATCTGCGTTAAGAAGAATTTAAGAATATATTTTTAATAAAGATAGCTATAAGAAGTAATATTAAAAAAATTAAAGTCAATTCCTACTTTTGAGAATTTTTGCTACATAACGGGACATTACATTCGTTTCATCGTACTCTATAAAACAACAATTCTTTAATTCCATACACTTTAAAAATCTTTAGAACTCTGTCTTACTGTTGCCACTTATTTTTGTTAAATATTGCAATACCATTTATCACAGTCATGTACTATTATTTGTTATAAAATTAAGTTTCTATAAAATTAATTTTTACAGCATGTGAGAATTCCTAATAAACGGTCATTATTTGTAAGTCTTACAATATATTTAATAAAAACAGCATATCTTTAGTTCCAATAAAAAGGAATAAATAAGTAGGAATTGACTTTAATAGGTGAAAAAACTATATTGACATCAAGTGTCATCCCCTATAAGTTAAAAAAAAAATGTATTGAACTTGATGAGTGAATGAATAAAAAGTATTGTATTAATGATTGAAAATTTGAGCAAAATATTGGGAGAGTGTGAGTTAATAGTATCAATTTAAAATATAGAAAGCTTGTTAGGTTTTAAATGAGCTCGATTTGGATGTCTTAATTGACATAAGTTCTTTTTCAAGAGCAAAAAAATTTAGCTAATAAAAAATGTTTTTTTGCCTCTGAGGGAAAAGGATTTGTATGAGTTCATCTTCAAAATTGCTGGAATTTTATTTGAAACTTAATCCTAATCTAAAATTGACACCTCCTTAATTTTACTAGAGTTTTATATTGTGTTACACTTGGTGAATGAGAAATATTTATAAAGTTGGCAGAGAAAATCTCAAAGGATCCAGATGATTTGCTATCATTTTCTATGCTGTTCCTGAGCTCGCAGTTTACGAATTAGCTTTTTGGACTCACTCCTGCTAGTACGACTTTTTTTTTGTCTTTAAAATTTTATTATTAAACATCTCTTTCTTCACACTTATGCCACATTAAATTCAACAATAAAATCATGAAATGTTTAAAAACAGTAAATTTTTAGGATTCCCAATGAAGTGTTAAATGTTGCCATTCATTTTTCTACTTTTTCCAGTCTTTTTTCACTTTATCATTTCAGTTTTCTTAACAAGATGAAATACACAACTTTTGTCTTTTTAATTTTATTATTAAATATCATGCTTTTATTGCATAAAATTCAGCAGCAAAATCACAAAGTTTTTAAAAGTAGCATATGTTTATAATTTCCACTGCTGTGTTAAATGTCGGCATAAATGTTTTCAGTTTTAGTTCATCATATTGATGTTCAATTTTTCTTTTAAAATGAATTGCCTAACTTTTTTTTTTTTTTGTCTTTTTGCCATTTTAACTTTATTTAACATTACTTTCTTTGGACTTGCAGCATATAAAATTCAGTTGCAAAATCACAAAATATTTTAAAACAGCGTATCTTTAGAATTCCCAATAGAGTTTTTTTTGTTTAATCGAATGGCTGGCACTTACCTTTTTTCACCATTGGTGACTCCTAAGGTGAGAGGTGGTGGCCTATATTATTAGCTCATGGATAATATAAGGTATAAGACATGGATTATTAAGCAACTGGTGACAATTGACAAGAATCATATTGAAATTATTCCACTTACAGATGCAGATGGGTGATTTTTTTGTTTGTTGTGTAATGTAAAATAATATTTTACAGTAAAATGTAAAATATTATTTTTTTTATAGTATTACATATGTTTGTATAAATATCTATAGTTCATGAGCCACTATCCAAACTATTTTCAGATTCCTTGCCTGAAGTAAAGATTGTTCAATAAATGAAATTGGCGGTCACAAATTGAAAATTAATAAAGAGTGGCTCAGTTAGAAGTTTGATGAATGAGCTTTGTTAAATCAGCTGACAATTTGTGCAGCGTTATATTTCAGTGTTCCCCACCCATAAAACAGAATTTGAAAATCAGAGTTAAATTAATTTCAAGTTTTTATCGATACGGTATACAAAAGGGATCTCTCTCTATATTATCTATATCAATATATATATATGAAAATAGAGCACTGCTTCTGGGGAAAAGTAAAATCATCACAAAGAAGTCGCAACATAGTAATATGTTTTTAACTTTGGAATGTGTTGTGCTATTTATTACATTCTTAGTTAAATTATTTAATTTTAATTTTCAATGCTATTATTACAACAAGCTCTCAAAACAAAAATGATCTGTTTAAGTCTTTCTGCATATTGCTATTATCAGTATACACTTGTCTCATAAATCTAAAATATAGATATTTAGTAATATAATGAATGTGCGATGAATTCAATAAGTAGTACGATGTATAGAGTGAAATCTTACAAAATATTTTCAAATTTCTGCAAAATTTTATCTTTATTACTAATAAGTTTCTAATATTAGTATATCTATAATTTTATCATTCTGTGTGGCCATAGTTTGTAAATGTCAAGAACTGGAGCAGTTCGACATAGAAACCAAAAATTCTAACCAAACTAGTCTTTACCTGAGATGCACACAACCTCTTGGATGTCAGTGGTAAATGCAGTTGACTTAGGCAGTTTTTGGTAACATCTGGAAGTTATTAGAGACCAGTTTTTATTCTATACTAAAGCAAGCATATTCTATTGATGATTGCTTTTGTAATATTTACAAAATAAATATTTTTTCAGAAGCTGCTAAACTTGTACCTATCCTGGCAGTTAAACCTGAACCACTTTAATCAAGCCATGAAGCATACCGAGAAAAGACTACAAACTCAAAATTGCTTTGATAAAATTATTCATTTAATGAAACTGTAATATTTTTCTTAAACATTTATGTATGACAGGAATTTTGAGCAGGGATGCATTTTGAATATATCATTAGAGTTTATGTTACCTTTTCAGGCAACATTTTCCTACAATAATTTTCTTTAGACCTCTTTATTATTTTTTAATACTAAGTTAAAAATACTATTTTTTCAGTGTATCAGAATGGTAATTTCTAAATAAGCTCATGATTTTCGTGCAAAGTATTATAGTGTAAAAATGAAAGCTACAAAATGGTAACTGATTAGGAAGTAATGAATTTGTTTAATTTGTGGAGGAAAGAGTCTCATTTTAAAATTTAATTTCTCCTTTTAAAATTTAAGTCTTAAACTTAAATTTTAAAAGAACTAATGCAAACAGTCGTGTGAAAAATGGGGGGGGGGAACCTTCATGTGATTATCTTTCTTTTTAAATAAACTTATAATATATTTGATATATATAAAAAAGTCTACTGCTTTCATGTGCCTTTTTAGAATTTTTTTTATTCCTTAAAAAAATTTTTTTTTCCTAGTCTAGTAATCTGAAATTTTTAACTTGCAATAAAAATTAAAAGTAAAATGCTCACAACTTTAAATCACATATATTGCATATTTTTAATCGCTTACCATATTTGAATTTTTACCGTTCCTAAAATATTTTCAGGAATATCCTGCATGATTTCATTTGTGCCCTGTCACCTAAATAAACATTAGCATTCTTTCTTTGTGCTGTTCTGTCGTTATTGAATAAAATTTAGAGCAACATTGCAATATTGTAAAATCTCAGCGATCTGGAAAGCTTGAGAAGTGCTGAATGATGGCTTGAATTTATTAAAGTAATGCATATAGGAAGGCCAAATAAATGGAAGTAATTTCCTGTCCAAACTTAGAAAAACAATCATTTTTATTTGTAGACTTGAATATCTAAAGTAAAGAAGGGTTAAAATAACATTTTATTCCATTCAATTAAAAAAAGAAAATTTTAAAGGTTTTAAGATTTTAAATTATGTCCAAAGGGGTGTTTTTTTTTAACATTTTGTGTGTTACCTGTATTTATTAAATATCTTGTTCTGTGTACTCAAACCATAAAATTCAATTCAACAGCAATATCGCAAAATAATTTCTAAATGAGCATATCTTTAGAATTTCCGATACAGAGTCTCGCACGCTGGAGATAAAAATGTTTTCTCCCCCTGTAAAGAGTTGCTCGCTTTGAAATCGTTTAGTTTATTAATAAAAAATTTGTTGAAGTGTTACAAAATATGAACTTGATAATAAAACACATTTCGAATTCAAATTAGGGCTTCTGCATGCGCATATTCTATGGAAGATTACATTATTCAAATTTTGGTGGCTCTAGGTACCTTTGTTTTATCACAATGCAAGAAACACACATTCATGCAGATTCTTCATTATTTAATTTCTTTAAATATAATCAGGGCGATAATATTTGGTGGCAGCAATTTGAAGAGTGAAAAAACGTTTATCGTAAATCGATGCAAAATGCCAGAACGAAATTAAAAGTCCTGGGCAGGTTGCTCCTATGTGTTACTAACAGACGGTCTCTCTTGGGCTTACAAGAAAGCCTCCACTTGAGATATATAAAAGTACGTTTTAGTAAGAACGGGTCTTAAAACTATGTCCATCATTCTCTGACATGTTGCCAGAGCTTTGCATAAGCCAAATGGCATACACGTCTGATTTTGTAATGAAGGCTGTTTTTACTACGTCTTTGGGTTTTATTGTAATTTGGCAATAGCCTGATGTCATTCCAAGAGTGGTCGTATAATTTGTAGATTTTAATGTTTTGAATAATTTCATCTATAATTGGCATAGGATACACTGGATATTTTGTTATACTATTAAATTTGCTCTAGTCAATGGCAAATCGCCATGAGTTTGGATCTGAAGGTGGAAGGTT